ATTCAGTCTTGCTATGCTGCTTTGATGCTGGCTCGACTTTGACTAGACGCTGGCATTATGCTGGCTCGACGCTGGCAAGACGCTGGCTGTGCACTAGCGATGCGGACGACGGCATGAGGTAGAGGCAGCATGCTGGCACTTTTGGTATTGTGTGCCAGGCTTGCTGAGGTGGCATGCTGATGTGGCACTACCTCTGGTCTACATTGCATGCTGACGTGGCGCTACCTCTGGTCTACATTGCATGCTGATGTGGCGCTACCTCTGGTCTACATTGCATGCTGGCGTGGCTCTACCTCTGGTCTACAATTACATGCTGACAGGCGCTACCTCTGGTCTACACTGCATGCTGATGTGGCGCTGCCTCTAGTTTACAGTGCATGCTGATGTGGCGCTACCACTTGTCTACATTCTGATGTGGTGCTGCCACTGGTCTCCATTGATGATGTGGCATATGCCACCTGTTTTGACTGTTGACATGGCATTGTCCACGCTGTCTACATGAGGTGACTGGTTGCGAGGAGGAGGAAGTTCAGGATCTGTGGATGAAGGAGGTCGGGTACACACCTGAGATTGACGTCGTCACTGGAATGTGCTGTGTCTTCATGGTCTTCACGAGATAAAGTGCCACGTGGCACTATTGTGTGTGATCAGGAATATACTTATTATCATTGTTGACGTGGAGAGGAAAGAAGCCCGGAGAAGGAGAGGGGTCTGAAGGGATTATTATTGTGTGATCTTTCATCTTCTCCTTTGTCTCTTCCCTCTCCACTCTCTTCTTTTAAATGGTAATGAGAAACTGTTTGAGATATCACTTCACAATTTGGAGACTTTGATGCAGATAATGAGACTACTGTTGTTTGACGACTTCTGAGTATCTGCCAGACTGGGTTCGTTACAGTACTCGCTACGCTATTTCCTCCCCTGAATATCTTTTCCACCTCACACCTACTGCCACTGGGAATTGCTATCACCCTAACTGCCACCGGAGAGGAATTGCTAGAGGAACCCACCTTTATCTATCCATTCTACTCCTCTGTGCAGAGAGTAGTACCCAGGCTCCTACGCCTAGTGAGCGATGGCAAGATTGGGACTCCTGCACAACGGGACCATTTTAGAACATTAGGGCCCAGAGTTCCAAATGACAGGGTGAGTTCGTTGTATTTTAGTTGGTACCGAGGTTTCCTTCTCCTTCTCCGCCTTTTTCTGTTTTCTGCATGATTGCACCACGGACAGTTGGGGAGTCTGCTAAATTGTTGAAGGTTGTACTGCCACTGGGAAGACCAATCAGCATGGACCATTTAGGTCAAAGGCCGCCTTGTTTGTTACCCCTGCCTTTGGCTCTCCTCCCTGCAAAACGCCCTCCCTTTCTCACTCTTTGCTTCGCTCAAGAATTACTCGTGCACTACTGCTCATTACTCTATTGCTTCTCTCGTCGCCTACACCAGGAAATCCACTAGCCCTGGATGTATCCGAGTCCAGCATGGATGTACCTGGAAGTATCTGGGACCAGTGCTAGCCATGTATCTGGTCTTAATGGGGTGACCGGCGCTGGAATCAGAAACCGATGGTCGCCTTGTCTAAACATCTTATTCCCACGCTGGTCACCCCTTTAAGACCAGGTGCACTCGACACTGTCTCTGCTTTTTTCTTTTCTTCATCATCTTCTTGTCGGTGCCCTGATCCTCCTCCTTCCTCCTCCTACTCTGCTTTTCTCTCACCGTCTTTACCCGAATAGAACACCCGGTCATTATGGCTGCATCTGGTCTGAAAATTGCCCCAAATACGGCTATAATCACCGGGCGTTCTATTCGGGTGAAGACGGTAGTGATGCTATTACAATCCCCTTATGCGATGATTCCTGAATGGGGAAGTGGATCAGGAGAAGATGGAGGTCTGCAGTCCGTGTATCAGTCATTTCAAGTTGATGTACTCTCACACAGACTCTTGGCGGGGTGGGGGAGGGGCGACATGCTAATGGGGGTATGTGGAAATCTGTTGGCCTTCACTCTCACACAGACTCAATCCAGGCTATGTTATAGCTGAGTCTGGGGTGTGCTGTGTTCGAATACTATGTGAGATGTGTCGGATTCCAATATGGGTGGAATTGGGTGTGCTCGACGCTTGTGTTTTTTTAGCATGGGAAAAGTTCTAAATTCAATGTGACAGGTGTTGTGCTCGACTTGAAACATGGCTCATTACTCAGGGGTGAAAAAGGTTGCATCAACTTGCATCAATGTTTTGTTTTACTGGGATTCACAAGGTCAGCTGACTTAGCCCTGAAAGTCCGTAGTTTTCCACCCCCCGCATTTTAGCCCTGGACTCACATTGACTGTTGGCTTGACAAGATCTGCTGTTTTGCTTGAATCTTCAAGAGACCTACTTAACATGTGTGTGTGTGTGTGTGTGTGTGTGTGTGTGTGTGTGTGTGTGTGTGATGGCAATGATTGATGTTCTTTTAAATGATGGAAGGCTATTGATGGATGCTGCGCTCACATTTTGGATGAGGATCTCAAGCCCACCCAGGCTGGTCAGGTGCGGGGAAGTCGTCTTTCTCCCTGTCCTACTTCCCAAACTTCATGTTGAGTTTCACAATCATGTTTGTTCTAGTGGAGCAATGCTTCAGTATGATCCAGAAAGCTCCATGGATGTCAAAAAAGGGGTTCTGAAGTTTTCGACTTACGTGGTTTAGCATAATTCTATGTCATGTCTTTTCTGTCAGTTACACACTCTGCATTGAGGCACTCTGTCTTATGCGACCCTCTCGCCTCCCTTCTCTCCCCCCTCTTTCCCTTTCCCCCTCCCCCCCCTCTTCCCCCTCTTCCCCCTCATCCCCCTCTTCCCCCCTTTTTCCCCTCTTCCCCCTTGCCACGTG